GTTTTTTTTTTATAAAATGGAATACTTCTCAGCCATAAAGAATGAGAAACTAGAGACATTTATAGCTAAAAGGATGCATATTGGGCCCATACTCTTAAGTGAAATAAATAGGACACACGAGTAAATACCGAATAGTTTCTCTAGTGTGAGAAACTGAGAGTGTAAATAAGGATGAAAATGATTAAAATGAATAACTGATAATTTGAAACAGGAAAAGGTCCAAAGGTGTAGGGGTGGTGGGAGGGGAAGGGGAAAGGGAAGAAGAGAAAGGAAAAATTATGAGAAAAGAAAAAAAAAAAGGAAACAAAATCTGTGTAAATAGGGAAGGGTGGAGGGAGTGAAGGGAGCACAGGTAATGGGGGAAAAAAATAACTAAGATACATCATGTACAGGTACAAGCACCCAATGATAAATGTAAACGTATTGTATACCTAAAATGTACCAATAAAAGAATTATTAAAAAAAATTGCTACTACCTTTATAAAAACAGTTGTGATTATAAATATATTTAGTTAGAAAAATGTTATTTCAAGAGAGTATTGTGGTGGAACAAAATGTACCTGTGAATTTGGAAGAATCTATGAAACTGACCCAAGAAAAGCAATTTTATACGACTAAGAGAAGACTCCCTGAGCAATCACCACTCTGATATTATTCTCAAAGGAAAATCATATTTGCATAAAGAACAGAGCAGCTATCAAAGTAAACATCAGCTTCTAAAACGTGTTTTATAAGGGCCAGGAATTTAGCTCAGTGGCACCATGCCTTCCTCTCAAGTACAAGGTCCTGAGTTTTATCCCTGGTACCGCAAAAAAAAAAAAAAAGTGTTTTTTTTTTTTTGGTACTGGGGATTGAACTTGGGTCCTTGTGCTTGCATAGCAGGCATCGAAACCACTGAGCTAAATACCCAGCCCTAAGTGTTTTATTCTTAGGAACATGGAGTAATTTGACAGAAAGAACAGTTTAGTTTACTTTTTTTATTTTTATTTTTTTGGTAACGGGAATCGAGCTCAGGGCCTTGGACTTGCCAGGCAGGTGCAGTGTCATTGAGCTACATCTCTGACCCGAACACAGCTTAATTTTGGGTGAAGACCTGGGAATGGATCTTGGTTCTCATCTTCACTTCCTGTGTCTCTATGTCAAAGTTGCTGAATAGTTTTTATTCTGATTTCTTATCTCCACCATGAAGAGACCACCCTCCATCTCCCTGGGCTGTATGGGGATTAAATAAGATACTACATTTAAAACTGTATTCCATTTTTTGTCCCAGAGGCAGTTACAGCAATAACATAAAGTACTACATACAAATGTATAGCAAGGGATAGAGGCGGCATATTCATCTGTTTGGGGTTGGGGTGGTTAGGGGTTGTCCTCAATGAGCAGGAAGCCATCAAGCAGGTGAGCAGTGGGAGAGCAAGCCAAGCAAAGGCAGCAGTGTGTATGAAAGTCTGGACAAAAGACTCTGAGCACAGGAAGAGGTAGGCATTGTAAATGGTCTGAGGTGGCTGAAGAACTAACACTATTGAGTGCAACAGCAGGTACTGTATTGAGTTTAATAACAATAATAGCTAATATTTACTGAATACTTGTTGGGAGCATTTCTACATAATTGGAGGAAAAATCATTTAATAATTAAAGGGCCAGAGATTTAGCTCAGTGGTGCCACAGCCTGTCTTGCAAGCGCAAGGTTCTGAGTTCCATCCCCGGCACCAAAAAAAAAAAAAATTTAAGTATGACTATAGCTGTCTGAGGCTCAATGTACCTTGCCCCTGAGCCGGCTATGGCATGTGAAAACATAACTGTTTTGCCCCCGATCACAGCTGAGGCCTCAGTGGTTCCATGAGGCTGCGGCGCTCACCGGCAAGATTATATCAGCTGAAGACATCTTGGTTTTTTGAGTAATAAAACAAAAGAGCAAGGTTCACCTGGGGAGGGACTAATTCCTTGTTAAAATTAAGTCATCTCACCCACTATTGCTAGAATCTTTTCGTCTTCTTTGCTCTCTGTCTGGTCCTCTTCAAAGAACCTCATGACTTAAGATCTCCATCAGGTCCTCACTGTCCCCTGGGTCACCCGATGCTCCCTCCAATTATTGTGGGTACCCAATTAATAATGGCCAGTGTGGAGAGTCTTTGTCTAGGTCCACTCTGAAGCACTGACCTCCTGGCCCCCCATTTACTTTGAAATTAGGCAAGTCTCTGTTGTCTTTTTTCTTTTTAGCCCTCACTGTTCCCCTTTCTGAGTAGTCAGAGGATTGATCACCCTCTGATAAGAGCATACTATATGCTTGGTACCAGTCTAAGCATTTTGCCTGTATTGAGGTTATCTTAAAGATTTAATTGAATTAGTGCATATAAAATACTTAGAACACTGCTTGGCACATAGTAACCTGGCACTATGGCTTGAATCCAGGCCTCAAGCATGTGAAGCGAGCACCCTATTACTGAGCTACACTCTCAGCAATATTGTTTTTTTGTTTGTTTGTTTTTTTGGTACCGGGAATCAAATGTGGGACCTTGCCATTGCAAGGCAGGCGCCGCAACCAGTGAGCTAAATCCCTGGCCCCCCAGTAATATTGTTGATATTATTTCTCTTTTTTTTTTTCGGTACTGGGAATTGAACTCAGGGCCTTGCACTTGCCAGGCAGTTGCAGTACCACTGAGCTACATCCCTGTTCCTATTTCTCAAGATATTAGAAACTGAGGTTCTATATTATGAATTGAGGTTATTTCTCATTTGTGAGAAATCAGGAAAGAGTCACAATCTGATTAAACCTCCATATACCAATTACCAATTTACAGTAAACACGGGCAGAAGAATGTTAAGATGATAACACAGGGATATAAACTGTAAGAAAAAAAAGAGGGAGCAGGGAGGATTTATGGATTAATGGTGACAAGGAACATTTCAATCATTTGGAGGGTATGGACATTATTGAAATCCTGATTTGCTTTTTGTTGTTGTTTTCTTGAGACAAGGTTTCACTATGTAATTCAGGTGGGCCTTTGGCCTCACTATGTAGCCCAGGGTGGCCTTGAACTCCCAAAGACCCTCCTACCTCAGGCTTTCGAGGGGTGGGATTACAGGTGTGCACCACCATGCCCGGCTGGGATCCTGATTTGAACAAACTAAAAAAAAATATGACATGACTGGGAATTATGTACACTAACTGGGTATAGGGTGTTATTTTATTGTGATGATACTGTAATTATGTTTTAAAAGCATCTTTATCTTTCAGTGATACATTCAGAAACATTTACTGTTGAAATGACCTGATAGCTGGGATTTGCTTCAAAATAATCAGAAGAATAAATGAAAGAAGACTGGCTGTGAGAAAACCACTTAATCTAGGCACTGGTTACATGGAGGCTCACTATATGCTTCTATTTTTGTGTATGGGTGAAAATTTCCATAAAAAAGTGAAGTGAGAGAGTAGTCAGACAGGCAAATAGGAAGGATGCCTAGGTGCGGTCAATACAGGGAAGGGAGACAACACGGCACACTGGTGAGCCAAGGTGGGAAGAAAGTCCCTGGACAAGCCAGGTTCAGAGAAATGAGAAACATGGTGTTGGATGGAAGTCATTAAGGGTGTTGGCAGGAACTGAAGGGGGGTGTGTAGAGGTGAGTTGGGGCCAAAGTGGGGAATGGAGCAAAATGTGGCAGGTGAGCAACTAAACGCATGAGGGTGGAGGGTAATGGTTCAAAGCATCATGTGAAACAAGGTGTCACCAACCTTATCACTCAGTGGAAGGCAAGAGAGAGTTCCTGACAGAGAGCATGGGGACAGGAGACCCCAAGTGGAGAGGCTGTAGGATAATGTATGCTTAACTCAGAAGTGCATTGCCAACAGCTTTCTACAACTACTGTACGGCAATTACTGGCAATGTGCAAGAGTTTTAGCTATTTCATGTCTCTGCCAACATTTAGTATTCCCAACCTTCTAGATTTTAGCCATTCTAGTCACCATATTATGGCTTACTATGGTTTTAACTTGAGTTTTCCTGACAACTGAAGATGTTTGACATTGAAGCTAATTTTGATTATATATACAGTAGTCTCTAGGGACTACCCTTATTAATGACATTTAGTTCATCATTTCTACACTAGATTATTATTATTATTATTTGGTACCAGGGATCGAACTCAGAATCTTGTGCTTGTAAGGCAGGCACGGTACCATTGAGCTAAATCCCCGGCCCTTACACTAGATTTTTTTTTTTCTTTTGGTACCGGGGATCGAACTCGGGACCTTGTGCTTGCAAGGCAGGCGCTGAAACCACTGAGCTAAATTCCCGGCCCTACACTAGATTATTTTATAGAGGAAGATTATACAATTCTAACACCATAAACCCCACCCCTCCAGATCAGTTTATGGAACTGATCAAACTTTAGGTAAAATGTTACTTTGGTACAATATTTACATTTAGCGGTTAGTAATTTGGCATTGACTAAAAAATAAGCCCCTAGAGGCCTGCTAGAGCTATAATGTTGCCACGTCTACTGTCACTATCTGGTTATTATGTTACAGCAAATAAAAAAGATACCACAGAAAATGGCACTGTTCTTAATCAACGAAAGTCAAATTTCCAATTCAACTCTCATGCACACCCTTCAAACTAATGTAGGATGCATGCAAACGGATTTTTGCTTCAGTTATTACCTTTGAGAGAAGGTACAGTATAAAAATGCCGAAGAGAACTCTTTTTCGATCTTTTGTAAGACCCGTGGCAAATGACCTCAGAGCTGTATAGACATGCTATCTCTGACAAAATCGAACTGTTTCCTAATTCAAATCGTAGACTGCTTGACGGAAAGGAAACGGAAACATCTGGGATCTTCTCCGCCTCTTCCAGAGCGGCGTCACGCTCTTCTCCGGGATGCGCCACGGTCGCCTCAGCACACGCACCCGTGTCGATCAACCTCGAGGGTTCCTCGCCCCCTCCCCGTTGTCTCCAGGAGGGGCCCGCGCCCCCACCCGCCTCCCAGAGCCCGCTGCTCACCAGCATCGGCCCGCCGTGCGCCCAGCAGGAGCGGGGTGCTGTCCGCGCCGTCTTCGCCGTAGCTCGCCGCCAGACGGGAGGCCGAGGGCCGCATGTCGCCCCTCAGAGGCGACGCGCTCACTCGCGACCGTGACGGAGAAGCCTGGGGCCCGGCCGCACCGCAGAGACCTCTCCACCTGGCCCCGCCCAGACCCCGCCCCCGCCCCGCCCCGCCCACTGTCGCCCTTGCCGACTCCATCCGCGCCATTTTAAGTTCGGGCAGGGAAAGTGAAGTTCTCCAAATTCCGCCTCCTCAGGCCGTCGCGCGAGGGCTCTTGGTATCGTCTCACCGCGGACGGTGGGAGGCGGGCTGCGGGGCTGGGGCCTCGGGCCTCGAAGGGGCAGCGTAGGCTCGAAGGTTGTCACGGCTGTGAGCGACCTTTGTACGGTCTACCCCGTGACAGCCCGTGGTCCAAGTGGCTTTGAGGTGGAAACAGGAACGCAGTGATCGTGTGGATTTCGCAGGGCAGGACGAGCCGAGAGCAGACAAGCACGGGACAGTGGGAGGCCGGAGCGCGGTTCCGCAGCGGAAGGACCGGGAGGGGCGGGGCTCTGTCGGCGGTGACCTCAGGCCGCGTGCGCGGAGGGCTGAAGTTCTCGCGCGGGAACTTCCACACCCCTCGGCGAGGTGTGGACCCGGGGATTAGAGCTCAGCGGGCAGGGGTGGGGCATGTTTGTGTCAGCTGTTTTGCCCGAGGTTAACACTTCCATCCTTGAAGCTGGTTTCATGGTGTGGTGGGGCTCGTTCAATCAGTGGAATGTCTGGCCAGAGTAAAAAAGTAAGCTCCCCTTCCCAAGCCAGAGGATTCCCCAGCAGACCGTCCTCAGGTTCCACCTGCCCCATAGGCTAACCCAACCCCAACTAGGTCTGGAGCCGGCACATCGTCACTCCGCATTGGTTCTGTCTCAGAGAACCCCAATACATTCGCGGTGGGCCCGAGACCTGCTGATAAGCCAGCCACCGGGTGACCACCCTAACAGCTGGGTTATAAAGGACTGGGGCCCCGGAATAAAGACTCCCTCAATCTTGGGCCGGGGATTTAGCTCATTGGCGCCGCGTCTGCCTCCCAAGTGCAAGGTCCTGAGTTTGATCCCTGGTACCAAAAAAAGAAAAGACTCCCTCAGTTTTGAAAGATTTCAAATTTGAGAGAGTATTCTTGTTGTTTTCACTTTATTTTAGAAGTTTTAGGTTTACAGAAAAGTTGTAAAGGAAGTTTACAGATAAGTTGCGAAAGTTGCACAAAATTCTTTGGTGCGGAGCATGAGACCTTTAGGAACTGGCCACTGTACATTTCCAGTTGCTGCCAACTCTGTGTATTGTTCCTGGTGCGCATGTTTCCCTTGCGTTCTTTCCACCACCTGCCTGCTGCATTTGTCTGTGGTGAGTTTTTTTGTCCTTGGAGGCTAAAATGTCGTCTTTTATTTACTGATTCCTTGGTCACCTCTCCTTTACTCCGCACCCTTAAGGATGTTACACACACCTTTATTGAGACACATGGTGTTAGTTATCTAAGCTGGTTTAATGGCCTATGAGTCATTCTTTGAGAGCAAGAAACTTGACTTAGCTTCCTTTCCCAGCTCTACGCAGACGGTACAAATATTTATGAAGTCCCATTTTTTTTTTTTTGTACCGGGATGGAACTCATGACCTTTAGCTTTCAAGGCAGGGGGTGGCACCACTGAGCTAAATCCCCAGCCCTATGGAGCCCCACGTTATGCGTCAAGCACTGTCTTGGTTGCTATGGTAGTAGGGGTGATCTATAAACATGGTTTCTGCCTGCAAGGAGCTTCTGAAATATTCCTTGAAGGAAATATTTTTTTTTGAAGGAAATATTTAATACTGTTCAATGGAACTATAAAATATTTCTCTTACCAGTTATGAAAGCTAGGGGACACATTTTTATTTCTATTTTCTAGAGAGCAAATGTTGTATGATTAATGTATTCCAGAGGAAGAGTGATAATATTTTTAGGAAGGAGTTTCAAAAATGGATAGTCTGGAACACTTTTCCATTTCCTGTTTCCTTTAGGCAGCTGTACTCAGCTGGTATTCTCAGACAGCAGATAAAAACAAGATGGGAAATGTGCACAGTTTTCTGTCATATATATATGATAGCATATATTCATTTTCATAGGAGAGTATGAATTTTCTCAACGCTTTACAATTTAACAACTGGGCAATTCTTGCAACATACAGACACGTGAGTATTGTAACCATTTTAAAGGAGGAACTAACAGGTGACGGTTGAAAGAGGTGATTTGTCCAAAGTCAGTGGGATGGGCTGGGGATTTAGCTCAGTGGTTCCGCAGCCTGCCTCAAAAGCGCAAGGACCTAAGTTCGATCCCCAGTACCAAAAAACAAACAAACAACATCAGTGGGAGCCACTATTGAGATTCAGATGCATGACCTTTCTTTGTATTCAGATTCAAGGATGGTGCACCATCATCATTCCTTTAATTTTTTACACCTTGAATGTTACCATTGAGCTTAAAACTGTTGAGCACAATTTCATTTAGTCTTAGAAGTCATTTTAATGGTAAGTGTATAATAGGTGAGGTTGTCAGTTGCTGCTTACAGATTATATAGCATTTTGTCAGTTTCATTTACTTGATGTGGGAAAACTGAAAGAGTAGCCCCATTAAAAAAGATATAAATAGGGCCGGGGAGTTAGCTCAGTGGTTTTGCCACCCGCTGCACAAGTGCAAGGACCCGAGTTCAATCCCCGGTACC